ACGTGATCCGAGACCCGCCCCCTCAGAGGGGCCCGGCCTCCGGGCGTGAGCGCGGGCGGCCCCGGGACTGGGGGGGTCAGTCAGGGAGGGGGTGGCGAGGGGTGCAACCACGGACCCGCGGGAAAGTTTTGGATTTGGCCGGTGGGGTACCGGGCACGGCTTTACCCGTAGCGAGAACATGCCTTTGAAGTGTCCCCAGCCACCGCTAGCGTACGGATCTTAAAAGCAGCAGCGCTCTTCCCCTGCAGGAGGAAAACGCTTTTATTTCCTCCAAAACGCTCCGAGTTATTAAGCTTTAAAACGCCTTTAAGGTCAGTTATTTATTAACAGCAGCTCGACGTCAGCAATTTGCAAGGCAGCTTCGCTTTATGGTAGGGATGTTTGAAAATATAGATGTGTCAACGAAGGAACTAACCAAAATCCAAAGCATGCTATTTAAAACAGTAGTCAGACACCTTTTTTCCTGTAGTAATTCAGAATAATGTCAACTTGGCTGCTTAAACAAGATCACAGGGAAAAAAAAAAGTCTGAAGAAGCCAGTCGTTTCTGTGCTTTTATCACGAGGATTGGGCAAAATATCATTAAACTGAAAAGAGCAGAAATTAATTAAGTGTATTTAAATAGGTTCCCACATTATCAAGAGTGATGCCAGGCGTAAGGAAAGAGCATTTGAAACACACCCGCTTGCTGGAGCGCTCATCACATGCTCCCGATCATAAGGGAGATGCAGTCGGGCTGGAATTGCCACTTGCAGAGTCATCTTGGTTTGGATCCGATGTACAACACGGCCCAAGGAATGGAAAACAAGATCTCAGTATCTACTGACAGGAGCAGGACTATTAAAAGGCAGTCCACGCTACAGGCAAATCTGATGATACTACATTCATTCTTGTTTAACAAAGCTGGACTTTGAATTTTTTTAAGTAGTTCTTTCCTGGGATCTGCTTTCAGCCAATGCTAAAGCAGAATCTAAGTGCTAGAGAGGTAGAAAAGTGGCCTCTTTAAATGATGGTAATTCTAAGACATAAGTTCTGATTAGTTATGGCATTACTCTGTGATAAAAAAAAGAAAAAACATCTACATTTAGAACTGGAGGAAAAAATTACTCTGTTTTGCACTTAATAGCTTGTGGGATGAAGCTACCATTAGGTTTTTTTTGAGACAACACTGGTTCTCAGGCACTTAGAGACATTTAAGGAAATTTTTAAAATTCTAGTTAGAAACAATATTCTTAAACTTCTGAGATAGTATGTATTTTTATTTTTTACATGGGAACACAAAAGGAAATAGAAAAGGACCATGCTGTAACCATGCTTATGATTTTACAGGCATAATGGAGTATTAACAGTTATTCTCATGGTTAAAACACATGCATATGCGCTTGAGGATCGTGAACTGAAGCCCCTTTTCCCTTGTGCCCACCCTGTTACTATTATTCACATAATGACCCTTTTTACTGAAGTCACTGTCCTTGCGTGCCTCGTCACCCTCCCTCTGCTCCTGGCTCGCCTCCTCTTGCGCAGCAACCCACCTCTGCGGCTCCCTCAGGTGTATGTTCACCTGAGAGCTGAGCTTGCACCTGAAGGATTGTATTCACAGAGCTGTACTCACGAGGAGATAATTTTTGTTATGTCACATGCTAGGAACCAGCACAAATAACAGCCCAATGGCAAATAAAGGGCAATTTTCAGTGTGCGCGCATGAGAAAGTTCTGTATCAGCAAAGCTCCCGTGTAACAGAGCTTGTGAATAATGCTTTTTACCATCCCTAGTTGGCAAGGAGACTTTGTCCCATCCTGGCAAGTGATGACATGGCCTCCATAAAACATGACTCTCTCAACTCCTGGCTCAGTTACAGCAGTACAAAATAAGGGGACAAAATAAGAGCCCTTATGGCTCTGCTAATACCAGAATGCAGCCAGCCAGCCCCCAAGCGATCCAAGAAATTACCGAAGTGCCCTTGTTTCTTTCCTTATCTTCCTGGCACTGAATGAACTGGGCCATTACGCCCTGAAGGACCGTAATTTAGCGCATTTGCTCCACCACAGCCTGTTAACCAGGTAACTTATCTTTTTGCCAGAAAAAGAGCTGTTCTTTTTTTTTGCTTAGAGTTGCAGTTCTTGGCTTTAGTAGGAAATGTAGGTAGCACAGCAGACTGAAAGGAATATATTTTAAACAAACAATAAACAGTACAAATTTCCTTTTGGCTTGGAAAGGAAGAAAGAGTTATAAACAACAAATGGCAGCGGACTGCCTCCCTGAAAAGTGCTATAGTAAGAGGGTTATGAGAGAGACACAAAAGATCCCCAACAGCACGGCATGAAATGGATCTAGCAGTGTATCTCCAGCAACCAGAAGGAGTTGTGGTGTTAAGGGAGCAACATTGACTCTAATCAGCACTTCTCAGAATAGTATCTTTGCTTTTGAAAATTACATTGAAAATTGTGTGACACTGGTTGTTGATTTAGTTCTCATCTTAAGAGACATATTACAAGTTCTGCAGCCACACGCTGCTTGAGCTTTAAGTGCAATCTACAGTTAAGACCTCATTGCTCATAAAAATCACAGGATTCAAAGAGCAGCTGAATTTACAGTGCTTTTGAAAAAAACTAATGAAAATAAATACAGACTTTAGCCTTATTCGGCAAACGTTCGTCCTACAACTGCGTGGATCACCGCTAATTTCATGCTCCGTTGTGGAGCAGCATCATGGATATGCTAAACACCATACCGAAACCAATTGTTTCTGCTTAAAAAGCTTAAGAAATCTTTTTTTCTATCTGGAACAAACTGAAAAAAGACAACTTCAACAACATAAAAGCATCTTGCTTTTCAAAGCTTTCCTTTTTTCTCTTGTTTTAGGACTCTGATACTCCCTGTACTCCAGTAATCTCGACTCTCCTGCTGGCATATACGCTGTGTAGCTGCAAGTTGACTTTTTAGACCCATTTGGAGCCAAAGCATACAATCTTATCCAGTCAAGCATTTTAAGCCTGCACAGTTACACCATCTGGGTAGGGACAGTAAAACCTATTGACAAACGGCAGCCTGGAGCAGTGCTTTGCTTAGTGAAACTATGACCACACCTTTTTAAGTGCAATGATTTACTTGAATGACCTTCTCTCACATTCAGTACTTCATGTCTGTACTGATACATAGTGGCACATGATGCCACACCTGACATCTGCTTTCTACTCAACACTTTCTACTCAACACTGGATACAAACACGGATGGAAAAATGGCCAAAGCGGTAAAGGACCATGTTAGGTGAAAATAACCAATGGGGTAAGATGGTCAAGAAGGTAATACAGTAACTGATGATTTGGTATACAGTTTCACTAACCGTTAAATGACAAGTTGTGGGCACCATGTTTATAAGCATGAATTAGGAATAAAGTGAAATCAAGCCTAGATGAGCTTTCTCACCAGTTCTGGCTAAACAAAGCCTCCTTTCCCTGACAGGTCCAGGGCAGTGCCTCAGCCCTGAGAAGCTGAGCAGCCCCAGCTGTGTTACAGCCAGATGGGCATGGGAACTGTCTGTCCTTAATTCCTCCAGCAAACACCCACCAGGTCTCTCTTCTCAGCCCATGCATTTTTAGCCATGAACTGCAAAATGTCTGTTGTGCATTTGTAAAAATCTCTCCGTTAATGCCAAATATGCAGTTTTATTGTGTTTATACAACAGGGTGAAATACTTTCCTCTGTGCCTAGAGCGTGACTTTGGCACAATTTATTGACTCATTTCACCATCTTGTCCATACTCCAACAAGGAAACTCATTATGTAGGTTATGTTTCCAAGCAGTGCTACTGCTTTGCTGCAAGAACCTAACCTCTTGGGCAAGGTAGGCTTATTCTTCACTGCATTTCCTTAGGTTCACAAGTTGACACATTTGTGCATTCAGAAGATGAAGAATCAATGCAAGACCCACTTCCTTTCATTTAAACATTTACAGTAACTCAAAAACAGTGAAGAAACCAAAACAGGGACACACAGTATGAACATAGAGTCTTCTACAGACCAACAGCTGTGAAAGATACCCCGATTCAGGTGGTTTTCCCAGTTCAGAAGAGAAATACCTCTCCAACTTCTGATGTTTACACCATTCAAAATATTCAGGTAGCCGATTTTGAAGTAATTTTAAGTTTTCCAGAAAAACAAACCAAAACAAAACAAAGCAAGACTACCACTTGAGTGAGAAGAATGCTAAAGTGGTATTTTTTTATAAATAAATGCTTCTAATGCATAGCCTGTGAGAATCCTGTTGACTCGTTGGAAAAAAAAACATGTATAAAAACTTCAGCTATTAGATTTCCTTCTATTCATTTTTTCCTGGGTAACCTGCACTGTATAAAAACATTAATTTGCTCAGTTCAGGACAGATGTCCCAGTTCAAGAGAGGATATCCACTCCGAAAGTGATTAATTCCTATTAACTTCATGCCTTTATTTAATAAAGTTAAATTTAATAATGTATTTACATAATTTTCTGAAATAAACTATTGTTTAATCCTGCATTAATTTCTTAACAGTTGCAGGACACACCATCTTACATTGCAAGCCCGCACTGCAAACTGATGGCTCATCACAAGTCCTGTTTTCCTCACAGTAGCTACAAAAAGCTAAAGCAGAATTTAAGTTTTGCTTTCATTTGCTTGCTCCCTTCTCCCCCTCTTCCACTCTATTTTTCATTCCTTTTTTCCTTTTAGACTTTATCCCTCAAAGCAATTAAATAATCTAACACATAGTAGCAAAAAGTGATTTAATTAAGGAGTGAATCCATGCTGAACATTCTGCAATGCACCCAAGTATGTGTGAACTGCAGGTTTTGGAAACAGTTTGTTTACTGTAAACAAAACTTGTGCTTTGTGAAAGAAGTCCTCCTAAAGATATTGAAAATTCCAAGTGCTCAGTACCTTGGGGAAAAAATTGCAGCACTTGAAATATTTTAATAGATTTACTAGTGAATATTCCTCTCTCAGGTATAGTGTCACCATTTTTTTCCAGTTTTCTTTCATTTCTTCACATACTGACATTACTCAAAGCACATAGATTTATTCAAGTTATCTTCAAAAATAACTTAGCGATTTTTTTCAACTGATTTGGCACTTTATAGTGGCAGCATCTAGACAATATCAATACAAAATTTCAAATTATAGTTTCAGAGATATCTTCTCGCATGTGTATTTCTAAACCACTTATTAAAGGACAGCATTACAAACAAACCCATCTGCTGTGGTACCACTGTTCTCCACATTCATTACAAATAACGTAAGTCAACATTTGTTCATCGGGATTTGTGTTTCGCACCCAGCCTGGGAGAAAGAGCGTTCCCCTGGCGATCATAGTGACAGTGCAGTCAAATTTTTCACAGCGCCTACACTTTATTTTGTTTGTCTGTGTGCCATTAATAACCTGTGGAAGCTGATGCTCCTGAACAGATGATTCTGTGTACAGAGCCCGGAGCTGCTTCAGTTCATCACTGGCCATTTCCATCACTGTCATCTCAGCAAAAGCCTTTGGACTCAAAGCGCCTGAGAAAAGGTTATGTTTTAAGTGGCAATTTTTAGGGTTCTTAAGGTTAGAGATTTTGCTTCTGATGCAATTTTTATACTTCTTGTCATTTTTAGCATGAAGAGCAAAAATATGTTCTTCAATTTCTTTAGATAACTCTAGCCATTTATCGGTTCCTTCTTCAGCTTTGGCAGAACCAGCCAAAGCTTTATAAAGAAGATCTGCACATTTACACCTCAGAGCTCTCATCTGATCCTGCTGCAGTCTTGCCTCATTAACAAGAGCTTCAGACTCTTCATTATCGGAGTGCTGTTCCTCAAAAGTAGAAAGCCGATTCACGCTGCTTTCTGCATCGTTATGTACCACATTTTTAACAGTCTGCGATGGGACCAACATTTTAGAACCGTTAGCACCCAATTCCTCCTGCTGACACTGTTCTTCAGACAGCAACTGCTCCCCAGCAACCACACCAAGATGTTCAACTTCCTCTTTCACATACACAGAAGCTGACTTTTTAATTTGCATTGACTGAACACAGTTATTCTTGTAAAGTGCTTTCCACCTTGATAATAACTGCTTTGCTTTCTTTTTCAACTCTGCTGAAGGACAGCTCTTGAGTACTCTGTATACAGCCGTGGCAACTTCTGTCCCCTGAAGATATTCTATAGTCATATCAACATCTTCAAGGTCTTTAAGATGATCCTCGATATCTTGGAAATTGTTCTCAGACAGTAGCTTTTCAATACAATAGGCTCTGTGTACAATATTTTTCTGGTCAGACATTTTTAACCCTGAAAGCAAAAAAAAAAAAATTTATTGTATTTACTGCAGTTATGACATTAATTCATTCTCTCTATATTATCACAAGGTTTTCTTGCTAATTTACACTATTTTTTTTATACGTGTCGCTGGTTTTGCCAACCTTTTCTTGAAGTGGTGTATAGTGGAGGAAATGCAAAATACAGAGGCGTCTGGGTCCTGGGGAAGCGCAAGTGGGCATGACAGTCTAACTCATGCAAGGAGAATACTGGTGGAAAGAGCCCAGGGACTTCCTCTGGGGTAGGGTTAATAATTTTAAAAGTAGGGTATGACACTATTTTTTAAGGAAAAGCACAGTGTTGTGCCAAAAAAAACCACACTAAAAAAGATACTGTTAGCATAATAAAAATTTAGTCATATTTGTTGTATGCATGTACACCACAAGAGAAGTTCACAGAGAGGTTCTTGACTGCTACAAGAAGGCAGGTAACTACACAACTACTCTGCTGTATGAGACTGCAGGTAGACCTGGCAGCCTTTTGTGCATTAGCAGACGAGTACCACTGGACTACCAAGGAGCAATCAGTTCTGAAATTCAGCATTTTTCTACCAAAAGCACCGGATAAACACCTGTTGATGTTTAAAATTTAGACACTGTTAACAAATGACACCCTCTGCAAAAAAAAGTAAAAATAAAATAAAAAGGAGGCTATGTATGTATGAGGCCCCTTCTCATACATACACAGAAACAAAAATATTAGTAGGATTTTTATAGTATTAGTGTCAACAAATTTAATTTAATAAAATGCTATTTTCAGAGGATCTGCTTGGTTTTCTATCACACAAATTTAAAGCCTATTAAAAGTGAAGTCTATCCAAAACCATGTTTGGGACTTTCTGCTGTAACAGATATTTGAATAACCTAATGCCCTCACACTGTTGGATACATTTTGTACTAGCTTCCCAATAACCTCTAAAGGCAGATTTTTAAGTAAACACTGCACTAATTTAATCTGGAGTTGTAATGACATGAAAGTTTTCTGCAAGATGCCAAAACCAGAGAGATCATTGCTGCTGTCTTTCCAGAATGCATGCACAGAGTAACCCTCTTCAGAAACACAGACATGTTGAAATATAGGTTCCCAAAAGCTGAGACCACTTTCTCAATTTTTCACATTTTACCAGCATCTGAACACAAATGAGTCCAGTACAGAATAACAGAAAAATCAAGGCTGGTCCAAAAACTCTGTATTGTGAGCTGCTTTTTTGGTTGCTGTTTTTGGGGGGTTGTGTGTTTGATTTTTTTTTTTTCTTTTTAAATCAGCCATTCTATACCCTAACTTATTTTTTTTTTCAGAAATCCTTATAATAAATGCTGAGATGTTTGGCTATCTGTAGTTTTGTTTTTAACAAAACCAGCAAGTTTCCTTGTGGTTTCTCATTACAAACCCCTTCAATTAAAATAAAATGAACATGTTTACATATTAGAAGACTATTTGCAGTAGGGAGTGATGTAGCACAGCTATGGTTTTCACAGCTCTTTGTTTTTGCCACTGTTGTGTATATATTGTAGCCTGTATAATGGAGAAACATTGATACATGCAGAAATTAGATATATGCATAAAGAATGACCCAGAAAACATACAAAGTTAGAAAGTCTAAGAAAATTTGCATGTTCACATTGTTTTAGTTAATATTAACTTCTACAGCATGTAGATCAGATACCTGTGAATTGGTTTTTTTATTTCAGACTTTTTCCTCAAGCCTTTGTTACTTCAAAAGAATAAAATTATCCAGATAATATGGGCATGGTATCTGACCAAAAACCACTGACTGAAATGACTTTCAAGCACCTGGTGGAGAAGTCAGTGTGTTCAGGCCTTCTGAGGAACTTTTACAAGTATAATGGATTTCTTCAATTAATAAACAGCAAGCAGCTGAACATATTTTACTAGGAATAGCAAAGCTAAGGTTTGGGGCTACTCTGCAGCAAGTTTAAGCAAGTGAGACTGAGGTAACTCAGTGGATCTTAAGCCCAAAACACCATTCTGGTTTCTGCATGACCCTCAACCTTTTACTTGCTATGCAAGAGATCACGTGTTCTCTCTTCCAAAAGTTTCTCTTTACAGCTGCTAACAGAGAAGCAGGTTGGACAAGTAAACTTTTAACTGAGGTCCCCGCTGCAGCCCTTCCCTTACTTGCTCTGGCATCCTATTACAGTTTGATTATCAAGGCAGGGCAGCTCAAAACCAGTGACACCTGCAAAACAGTTTAAAAACAATGACATACATAAACTCCTAATTGCTATTAAAGACCCAACCCTCTGTATCCTAAAAAGTACCTATTTTTAACAGCTGTAGTATTATTAAAGTATGCACCCATATATTCTGAAGCATTAAATGAAACAGTGGATTTCAGAATGCAGTATCATGGCTTGAATAAGATCTCCTTTTGATTCCTTTTTAACAAGTCTTTTGACAAAAAAAAATGCTCAGTGCATTACTATGTACAAATTTACACACAAAAAGTTAATACTACTAACATTATCCTCCTGTTTGCTGAAAAGGAGAATTAAATGTAGAATGCAGAACTGAATGGTGTATTGTGTTAAGTGTTCCTCTTTTTTTAAGAGGTTAGTCTTCTAAATTGATGCACAAAAGCAGTGTTTTGTCTGAAGTTGCATACAATCTGATTCCACGCTAGAAAACATTATCTGCCTGATAAGAGTCCGATACAAGGCTAGCTACACATGTACATATTGAAAGGAACTCACAAGCTGATTTCTTGCAGCATCACTGTTTCCATGATGAAATCTCCTGAGAATGGGGGGAAGGGAGGGACAAGTGATGCAGCTGGGTAATTTGCACGCACTGTTGCTTTCTGTGACCACCAGCCCAGCTAACTTGTTTTCTGCATGACAGAAATAGAAGTACAAACGCTAGGTAGGGCCTCACAGCACCACAAAAGAAAAGGACAAAGACAGAGAGAGAGAGCGCACAAACCTTCCTCTGTTTCTACAGTCCTGAACCACAGACCCACCTGACCTCCACAGTAAATGATCTCTGCATTCACTTAACCTGTCTTCAAACAGCTCACTCTTGTTGACATTTTGAAGTCCTGTGAAACCTCAATAATGGCTTTACAGAAACTGGTTTTCTCCTCGAGAAGTTTCAGAATCAGAGAAACAGGACGCACTTTTCAAATACTTAAGCTGAACTCTATGCATTGCCATACCAAAAAGCACGTCTAATGGCATCCTTGCTTATCTGTTCTGCTGCAGGAACACGCAGAAGCTGCAAGTGGAACGAGGTGTTTGCCTGTGTAGGGCAGCCATCCCCACAGCAGGACAGTTCCCTGTTTCCCAAACACTAAGTAGCTGACATTAGAAAATTATAAACTGCTAACATTTACTGTTTTTCATGCAATCGAGGGCAAAGTTGGTGGCACAGTTATGTGCTCAACCAGTATGATTGCCCTGTGCCTTAGAATCAGTTCTGCTCCTTCCAACACACTCCACTGCAAATGTAATCTATTTCTCCAGTTCTTGTACATATCAATGTATGTATTGTATTATGCTACACATACCATAAAATATACTTATCTGAGTGCAAGATGACTTCATGAGTTCTCAATATTTAGTACACAGGACTATGGACATGTAAAGAAATTACTACACACAGAACACTCTGCTGGTAAGTTGTCCATGCATATGTGAGGTATTTTGGCCTTTCATTGAGGACTATGCTTCATAGAAAGTTTCCTCTCTGATACTGCAGGGTGAGGATCTGTACACAAGAAATGGTGCGTAAAAGTCCATGGATATAATCTGCTTTATGGCAGTGGTCCTTGCTCATGGTTATTCACCTGAAAGTGAAGACATCCTGATTCTGTGGCCAGTCTCACACACGAAAATTATATTGCTGAAAAAGACTCCTTGGCTCCACAGCTATGAATGAGCAGGCACTGACAGCTGGGGTGACCTACACAAAGCCTCTGAGGGGAGCTGGAGCCCACAAGTTTGGCATCTGCAGTGAGAATGCAGCCCTTCTGCCACGCACTCACAGGGAATTACCTTACACTCACCGGACCTACAGCTGCTGAGAAGGAGCTGGCATGTGCCAACTCAGCACTCCACACTAAAGTGCTTTTTTCTAATAGCCAGATCTAAGACAATCTGCTTTGGTATTCTTTTTAACCCTCTACTAGATATATAAAAGGCTGGTTAGATTGGATTAAATGCAGTATGTATGTTTTTCCACATACGCACAAAAGTAATAAATTACATTATTAGAAAGTTTAAGATCTTCTTAGTTATGCATTGACTTTTACATGCAACATGAAATTCAAGTACATGGACGTTATGGCAACAGTTAATTAAACAAACTGAAAACAGATTACGGACATCAAAATATGAACAATTATTGTAAAATCATTTTGGAAATTCAACCACCTAACAAACTACTCACATTTAAGTCTAAACAACCACTTCTAAAGGAATGCTTTCCTTAACATGTACAACGTACAGCAAAAAGTGATTCCCTTCAAACTAATTAAGCAAAGCTTGGTAAAAGTAACAGAAAAAATAAGTCATCAAAAATATATGACAAGAACAGAACCAATTAATTACTTCAACGGAGAGCGATATTCACTGGTAACTGGCAGAAGCACAAGAAAGAGCCAGCAGAGAAACTATGAAATAAAGGTAATAAACATGTCTATCAGTGCCAATAGAAAGGTTTACATGTGGAGAGCAGTCTTGGAATGCAGTGGCTTTGTTGTGTGTACCTAGTTTGCAAAGGATTTTAAGATCTTTCAAGATGAAAAGTAACACATACATCTGAAATACTATGCTAACCATTCAATCATAAATTTCATCTCAGCTTCCAAATTAAAAAGCAGTGTGGTGGGGAAAAAAAAAAGTTATTTGTATTTGCTGCTCTGTAAATCAAGTAAGGATTGGATTTATCACCAAGGTTGACAGAGACCATTATTTTACAGGATCAGAAATTAAACTGAGATTCCTGAA